AGAACATAGGGGTTTCATCGTCACCCTTCTGGAACTTATTTGTCTTCAAAGTGTCCCATTTCAAAGGGGCTTCACACAAGATCCAGTTCCCTGAGAAAGCCCCTCATCTTAAGGAAGTTTTATGCATCCACAGGAACAGTTAAAAATGGTGGCCAAGCTGGTTTAAAGAGTTGGTGGTCCTCTGCAAGCATTTCAAATTGAAATTAAATGTTTCCCACAAGATAAAAATTTGATGTGGAGTGTTTATATGCCCAGCAGGATGCAATCATGCTGCTCCTTTACTCATAATGAGTTTATGCTGTGCAGAAGTCTCTTGGGGCAGGATATAGCCTGAGAAAGCATATATTTCACACAAATTCAAAAAAAATAGTACACTCGTCTAAGATACAAATTTCTTAAATGAAGTCTCATGCCTCTATTATCCATTGGCTTGTTTATATTTAAACACCAACATCTTTACCTTAGGTCTGACTTTTTACTATTTCTTTATCAAAGGTTATATCAAAATTGTCATCTGACCTAAAGGCAGACTGCAGATATTTTTAGTTTGATCTAAATAGTTCTCAAAACATTTGCTCTGCTCACCTTATGCACTGGAAACTTGGGTGTGTTCTAGAAAATGTCTGTGGTTCTATGCTTCAGGAGTTTACCGTTATTTGTCTCTAAGACTCTTCATAGTGGAGAGAACTGTTACCACAGTAAATGTCAAGTAGTTCTGAAAAGCTAATCCTTTTGTGCAATCTTGATTTGCGATTAACTTAGTATTTAAGATCAATGTCTTAAAGGATGGTAGCGTGACACCTATTTAAAATGTAAGAAAAGAAGACCCCTGTGATTTTCTTTTCTTTTTTTATTGAAAAAAAAATTTCCGTCTCCTCCCAGCCTCTTATTTCCCTCCCCCTCCTCCCACTCCTCTCCCCCTCCTCCCACTCCTCTCCCCCTCTCCCCACTCTTCTCCCCCTCCCTCTCCAGTCTGAAGAGCAGTCAGGGTTCCCTGCCCTGTGGAAAGTCCAAAGTCCTCCCCCTCCATCCTGGTCTAGGAAGGTGAACATCCAAACTGGCTAGGCTCTCACAAAGCCAGAACATGAAGTAGGATCAAGACCCAGTGCCATTGTCCTTGGCTTCTCAGCAGCCCTCATTGTCCACCATATTCAGAGAGTCCGGTTTTATCCCATGCTTTTCAGTCACAGTCCAGCTGGCCTTGGTGAGCTCCCAATAGATCAGCCCCACTGTCTCAGTGGGTGGGTGCACCCCTCGTGGTCCTGACTTCCTTGCTCATGTTCTCCCTCCTTCTGCTCCTCATTGGGACATTGGGAGCTCAGTCCAGTGCTCCAGTGTGGGTCTCTGTCTCTATCTCCATTCATCGCTAGATGAAGGTTCTATGGTGATATGCAAAATATTCATCAGTATGGCTATAGGATAGGGTCATTACAGGTTCCCTATCCTCAGCTGCGCCAGGAACTAACTGGGGATATTGCTCTGGGCACCTGGGAGCCCCTCTAGGTCCATGTCTCTTGCCAACCCTAAAATGGCTCCCTTAATTAAGATATGTGCTTCCCTGCTCCCCTATCCAACCTTCCTTTATCCCAATCATCCCGTTTCCCCAAGTTCCCCCCATCCTCTGAGTGAGGTAACCCAGACCCAAAAAGATGAACATGGGACGTACTCACTCATAATTGGTTTCTAGCCATAAATAAAGGTCAGTGAGTCTATAATTTGATATCCTAAAGAAGCTAAATAAGAAGGTGAACCCAAAGAAAAACATATAACTATCCTCCTGGTTATGGGAAGTAGACAAGATTGCCGGCAAAAAATTGGGATCTTGGGGGTGGGGTGGGAGGGGGTAAGGGGAGATGGGGAGACCCCTGTGATTTTCAATAAAGATGAAATTAAAAGGAGTTCTGAGAAATGGGGTAGCCTTGCCAAGTTGCTTAGTGGCTGCAGCCTAGTGACTTTGTGTAGTCTCCAAGTCTTTTCCCAGTTACTGGTTCTCTTTGTGCATAAAATGTAGACTCTTTTTTTTTTACTTGAAATAATTATCTATCAGTTTGGGTAGGAGGAGCAGGCTGCAAGTCCTTCCCAGCCACCCAGCTAGCTTACACCTGAAATAATCACACAGAAACTGTATTAATTAAATCACTGCTTGGCACATTAGCTCTAGCTTCATGTTAGCTAATCTCTTACATATTAATTTAACCTATTTTTATTAATCTATATATCACCACGAAGGTCATGGCCTACCAGCAAAGTTTCATCATGTCTATGTCTGGTGGTGACTCCATAGTGTTCCTGAATCCGCCCTTCTTTCTCCCATCATTCAGTCCAGTCCTCCCCACCTACCTTAAGTTCTGCCCTATCAACAGGCCAAGGCAGTTTCTTTATTCATTAATGGTAATCACAGCACACAGAGGGGACTCCCACATCACCTCCCCTTTTCTGCTTAAATAAAAAAGGTTTTAACTTTAACATAGTAAAACAGTTATCAAGCAAGAATTAGTTACAATATTTATAATTCCTTTATCATTTATCATAACTAAGGAAAACTATAACTATAAATTCTTCAACTCCATCAAAGACTCCAGAAGGATATAATACTACCTAAGAAAAAAGGAAATACATTGTAAGCAACTTCCAAAACTCTAGAATTGACAGACTTCTCACTGTCTGGACAGTCACCCAAAGTTCTTCTGTACTGTTGGGACATCCATCTTCAGCCTACAGGCCCATAGTACCCAGCAGACTTTTCCATGAAGCAGGAAATTTCAAAGACAGGTTTGCCTATATTGGCAGTTTGCCAGTCACTTTCTTCTGTATCCTGCAGAATGTCTCGCAGACTCTCCTATGAAGCAGGAACCCTGAAGGACCCCCTCATCCCCAGGCAAGTTCAGCAGTCACCTCTCTGTGGATCCCTCATGTCCAGTTTATCTAACAAACTCCATAAGGAGCCTCTTTGATGCCCATTCTCCTCTTGAAGTAGACTGGTGCTGCCAGGAGCAAATGTGTCTCACTGTCATGAAAAGTCCGAAATTTTTAAAACATTTAAATGCCATATTCTGAAGGTTATGAAAGATTTGAAGAATACCTAACTTACTAAAATACATCTCTATATATCTAGAAAAGCTAACTAACATGACTACCTGTATTGAGTTAATTATATACTGATATCAATTTGAGTCAAACTTGGATTTGAGATGCTAAGAAATGTCATTTTGTTATAATAAATAAATAAATAAATTCCACCATATCAGTTAAGCTGTAAAAATTTTATAAAAAATAGTGGTTTTCCATGTGCAAAAAAAGAAACATAAGTCATGAAATGGAACTTGCAGATGAGTGACATGAGTAATTAATAGAAATTGTATATGTGTGTACATTAATGGAGCTAGAGAAATATTCATAGAACTACTGAAAGGAATATAATTTTCACTATAAAACTTGTATGCCCAGCATTTATTTTTAAGAAAGCTGAAGTTACTTGAATTAACTCAGCACCAAAATGGATATTTAAATTATATTCCAAAGTTTCCATTGGAAGTGTACAAAATAAGCAATACTCTTTCCTAATAAAAGCACTGTATCATAGTTGTTGATGTTCATAGTTGTGGCCCTTTCTCTCTGGGGACACCACATTCAAGCATTCTGAAAATTTGGCTAATGTCCAGTTAGCAAAGAGATAATACTTTAGAGAAATATTTTTAATATTAAGTACTGTGTTACAAATTTGAGCATAATAAATTTATAGCTTTGTTCTGTTTCAGTCTTTTTAAATGTGAGTCTGACTAGAGCAGTTTATGCCCAAGACAGTCTAAAGATATGAATATGTAAAGGTACAAATGCATAAATGTATAGCAGCATAAAGGTATAGATACATAAAGGAATAGATTGCATAAAGTTATAGATACATAGAGGCATAGGTGCATAAGTGAAAGATGTTTACAGCTACAAATGCATAAAGGAATATAAATGTATAAAGGCACAGACGCATAGAGATATATAGCATAAATGTATATATGCATAAAGTCATAGATGCATATATGTATAACTGTGTATGTCTATGGATGGAGAAATGCATAGGTGAAGAAAGGCAAAGGTGCATAAAGGTATATTGCATGGAGGTGTGTGTTTATATATGTGTATATATGCACAGATACATAAGCATATAGATGCATAAATGCACAGATGCATAAAGGTTTATGTGCATAAATATATAGCATGATTAATAAAAACCCACAGACAGATATTGAGGTTCAGTCTTAAGGTCAGAAAAGCAAAACAGCCAGCCACTGGTTCTTACCTCTACTTCAGTCCAAAATGGCAATCTTGCCTCAAGGAACCTCAGAATGAGACTGTGTCTGAGAGCTGTCTCTTCCCATCTTATATTCCATTCTAGTAGTGCTGGCTTTAAAGGCATGCACCACTACTACCCTGGTTTCTATGGCAAACTACTGTGGCTACTGGGATTAATGATGTATGTCACCACTGCCTGGTCTGTAAGGCTGACCAGTGGGGCTATTTTACTCTCTGATCTCCAGGCAAACTTTATTAAAATACAAATGAAGTATCACTACAAAAATGTATAGATGCATACATGCTATATAAAGGTTTTCTTGCATAAACATAGATACATAAAGCCAATTCTAATTTCGCTTCCAGTTATAATGAAAACTCTGTATTAATGACTAAAATTTTCAATCATATAAAATAATCTCTTCCTTGTGTATAGCTTTAGGCCTGTATAGCTTTGGCCATTTGTTCTTTCCTGGAAGGAAACTAAACTACTGTCTTAATTTCCAGCAAACTTCAGTTTTCTGGGAACCAAAAGCGACCTTCTAAATTGTCTGAATCAGGGTCATTAAAATTTCTTTCTTCTGAAATGACACTTGTTATAAAACCTTGCAAAGTATTATGGAGGTTACTTACAGTGTCAGCGTGGGCCTTATTTAGTTACTGTTTCATTGCATGTTCATCTTTCTTACATTTTCTTTGGTTTATCCCTTTAGGAATGGCAGAATTCTATCCAGAAGAATGCAGGCCTTGCATTTATTGAACTCATCAATGAAGGAAGGTAATTAATTTTACCCTTTTTCGGCAACTAGACCGTGTGCATTTGATTCCACTGGGAAACTGCTTTTTCATACCATCTGTTCTAAAGATTGTTAGAAAATAGCTTTGAATTAAATAATTTAATATGTAGGTACTTAAATTTTAAAATAATAAATTTTAGGTATTAAGTATTTAGTTTTTGGAGACAAGGTATATATAAATGATATTAGATTTATGATGTTTTGTGAGATTTGAGCCACATCTTACTGAATAGTAAAGTTGTTTCAGTCAGATCATGTGAACCCAGTCTGCAGTCCCATCTGCCACCCCATCTGTTTTCAGGCTAAGCTCAGTGTTTATGCTTGAGCCCTCATCAGTTCACGTGAACCAATGTCCTCTGATCCTGTCATGCAGTTGATACCTGACTGGAAGTATAAGGAATGTTCAATACAGAAGGTGTAACAGCCTTAGTTCGGGGTGTCTGTTACCATTGTTAATGATGCCATTGGTGATATTTTGTTTGAAACCATTGCTGTATTTATCACTGTCGTGTGTGGTTGTTTACTATGAGATTTTTTAGTGCTTTTTGGTGATAGACACATCAAGGTTGCTAGAGCTGTCAACTTTTGACATGTGTAATTTCTATCATCCCAAGGCATGCAACCATTACAAGTTGAATTTCCTGTATGTTATAGTGCATTCTAAGGAAAACAATTACTAAATATTTGGTATGATGTTTGCTTTTGGGGAAAACAAACTTTACATAGATTAATATGGCAGTAATGCTTACCGTGTAAGAACTTGACATTTTCTTCAAAAAAAAGTAGTTTATATGTGGAATGGCCTTGCTTTCTTCTGTCACTGCACTGTATCCTAAGAAACTACCTATGCCTGGATAGTATCTTATTGCACATTTCTTTTGTTATCAACGAACAATGTTTTCATCATAATATATTTCTGAAACTTAAAATAAGTTTTATGCTTACTGCAATGTAAAAAATGAAGGAAATTATAATAACTGGTAATAGGGAAAGAGAGATGCCTTAGGGGTTAAGAGGACTGACTGGCTGATCTTCCAGAGGACCTAGGTTCAATTCCCAGCACCCATATGATAGTTCACAACTATCTGTAACTCCAGTTACAGGGAATGATGCCCTCTTCTGGATTCTGTGGGCATCAGAAATGAGAAAAAATATTTTTCTTTCAATAATACTTGTGAGAGCTAAGGGGGCTGAATTTCTAATGCTTTAATTATAATTATTGTCAGAAAAGAATGGTGCTGGAAAATTTGCTAATATCAAAGATATAAAGCTTCTGCTTTTATGAGTTTCCTTTTCCAGTAGTAGTTTAGAGTTTGCTGTATATTGAGAGGAAATGAAAATAAAATATTGATCCCTTTTTAAAACAATTAAATCAGAAACTCTCATCAAGAACTCATTGGTCCATACAAGCTTTACTACAAAGAGGAAGGAATATTATGATCCTAGTTGAAGGTGATCTTAGTATTGGCAACTATAAAGATAGTGTTCAGGATGAAAGTTTTGATAATTTAAAAGCATAGAACATGAATGAGGGGAATATATGCTATTGTACATTAAGTACAATGCTTCAAGATGGCCTTTATTCTAAAATGACTTTTATCTTGACAACATGTTTAAGGATGGAGGAACCATGCCAGTGAGAAGAGAATACCATCTTAAATTTGACCTGAGACACAATAAAAAGACATCCAGACTAGGGGAGAATAAAGCTCTAGAGATTAGGACTAGAGATGGAGTTCAGTAGATACTTCTTGTCTAGTATTCCAGAAACCTTATGTTTGTACCAGCACATAAACAGGGTATGGTGGAACATGCTTGTGCTACCACATCTTGAGAGGTACACAGAGGACGATTAGAAACTCAAGGTGATGCTCAGCTATTCAGTGAGGCTAGTCTAGAAGACACAAGACTATGTCTTTAAAATCAAACAATAAATTGTAGACAGTGATATAGTGCTAAGGCCTGGAGGCTTGCGGTAACAAGGTATGCTGCAGAGGAGGTCTTTCCAGCCATCCCACAGCTACCGGCCCTAGTACCACAAACTCCAGCAACACAGGATCCTGTCACGAGAGAACTTGCGCTGCTCTGGGTGCTGGGAAGTCATTGCTGAGGATTGGCATTGTGTGCAGTGTGATGCACAGATTCAAGGGCTCAGCATGGAACCAGACTGCCCTGTGAGGTTTCAGGCCTCTTTTTAGGGGTGATTTAGCTGTGAGGAGAGACATGAGCATATTAAAAAGTATCAATTGGAAATTAGGTCAAAAAGGCGATGATGAAAGAGAAAAGACAAAAAACCACAAGGATAGCCTCGTTTATGGCTTTGATAAATGGATGTCATGTAATAGAGGTTCAGCTCACACAAGGGCAGCAGTACAGGAGGAGCATAGTTTGATGAGAAGTGCTTTTGCTTTGGGTTACACTGAACTTGTGAAATGCCCAGTTGCAGAGGTTCAGAAGGTATCAAAGTACTTGGATTCTGGACTCTTCAGTGTCATAAACCACATGTTGGGGTGACTTCTTTCACGGTCTTGCTCTAATGGGTTTGTACGTTCCAGGGTAGGAACACGAGGATTAGAAATATTAGGTAGGAGGAACAGAGATACGAAAGAAATACATACAGAGACATAGAATAGTACCAGGAGGGCAACTTAGTGAATATTGAATTCATCCATATTTATTTTTCATATGGTTTTATAACCCAATACAAAAGGGGGGGGGGAGAAGTCACAAGACTGCTTTAACATGACATAAAGGACAACCAGAACAGTTACTTGTGTCAATTCTTGATACATTAAGCCATTATTTCCTGAGTAAAGCATTTGATGCTTTGGGCAGGATATGCAGTGAATGCACCTTACACTAAGTATCCTGTCGGCAGCCACTCCCAATGTCAAATCTCCTATTTTAAAATGAAGGAGCAGGAATAGCCTTGAATTCTTTGACCTTTAGTCAGGGCCTTGTGGATCCACCTCTGTGGGCCGTATTAATGTCAAAGACACAAAGTAACCACACCCTAGGTCAGGATTTCTTGTTTGTAGCCACACCTGTTGTCAACAACTTTGAAAGAGTAAAAATAAGCTCACATTAAGTATTTAACATAACCGTACTCTCTGACATTTAGTCAAGGTGAAAAACACTCACACCTGTGGGCCCCTACACTTCAGAAAGCCAGCTGGAAGGGTTTTAGGTAAGTGGAAACCTTCCAGTACATGGGGCCGATCTTTTGCCCCACATGTCCATGTGTTTGCCTCTCTCTCTGTCTTCTGGAGTTGGCTTAGATACTAACTACCCTGTCACAGACATTTCCATGAACAACCTTCATGTCATCTCCAGTTACCTTCATTGTCACCAGTTTATAGATCTCCACCCTAAAATTCTCTCCTTAAAAATTAGACTTTATTTGCTGTTTTATTTTTTTTTCTTTATTTTTTTTATTTATTTTTACAAGTTTCCACCTCCTCCCAGCCTCCCATTTCCCTCCCCCTCCTCCCACCCTTCTCCCCCTCCCCCCACTCCTCTCCCCCTCCCTCTCCAGTACAAAGAGCAGTCAGGGTTCCCTGCCCTGTGGTAAGTCCTAGGTCCTCCCCTCTCCGTCCATTTCTAGGAAGGTGAACATCCAAACTGGCTAGGCTCCCACAAAGCCAGCACATTACGTAGGTTCAAAACCCCGTGCCATTGTCCTTGGCTTCTCATCAGCCCTCATTGTTCGCCATGCTCAGAGAGTCCAGTTTTATCCCATGCTTTTTCAGTCCCAGTCCAGCTGGCCTTGGTGAGCTCCCAATAGATCAGCTCCACTGTCTCAGTGGGTGGATGCACGCCTCGTGGTCCCGAATTCTTTGCTCATGTTCTCCCTCCTTCTGCTCCTCCTTGGGACCTTGGGAGCTCAGTCCAGTGCTCCTGTGTGGGTCTCTGTCTCTATCTCTATCCATCACCAGATGAAGATTCTATGATGATATGCAAGATATTCGTCAGTATTGCTCTAGGATAGGGTCATTTCAGGTTCCCAATCCTCAGCTGCCCAAGGAACTAACTGGGAACCTCATCTTGGGCACTAGGGAGCCCCTCTAGGGTCAAATCTCTTGCCAACCCTAAAATGGCTCCCTTAACTAAGAATTGTGGTTCCATGCTCACCTATCCACCTTTCCTTTATCCCAATTCTCCCGTTTACCAGGTCCCCCCTCCATGAATGTGCAACTGAGCTAAAGCACACCCAGGAATTATACTCTGGATCATTTAAAGGAATCTAACCAAGAATCTTTATTATTAAAGCAAAGCAAGGTTAATGGAATGTAAAATTGCCTATAATATCTTGGCAATAATAATTAGAATTTAAATTATTAAAATATGAATTGAAAGGGAAGTATATAAGAAAGACATTTTTAAAATATGTGAGAAATCCTTTGAAATGAATTAATCTTTTCCCTAAATAAAGTTCCATCACTTTTGAATGGGACATCAGGTATAATTAATGAATATCATATATAATTAATGAATTTGTTGTAAAAATGCAGAATGTTTATGTCCCATGCTGATATAACCAGGGCTCACAATATTCCAGTTTTCATTTTATCTTCATAAAAGTTAAAGACAGTGTAACTCTTTAGGATCTGGAGAAGAGGAACTTGATCCAAGTGTAATTCATAAATAATTATGTGGTTACTATTTGTATGCCATTTAACATTAAAACTGCCAAAGTTTTGTTTGAATTTATTTCTCCAACAGACACATTTAGTCACTCACACTCAGTCACACACACACACACACACACACACATACACATACCAGCAATTTCCAAAGCTATAATCTCTGAACCATTTCTTTGGAACTTATGTTTTCGTTTAGTTTTTAACCATGAATCTCTGGAAATTTGAAAATAGAAGTTTTTCTCTGTATTGTTTCATCTGGAGACTAAATTAGACATTTTTCTTCTTATTCTCTATGTGTGTATGTGTATGTGTGTAATATTAAGTGCTGAGTTTTA